CCAGGATAGCCAGTTTTTTTAATTGATCCTGTACCAAAAACCAGAACACTGCCTATTCTCTGAGAAAGAAACACTTGTAACTAAAGCATGCATTTTTTTCAACATGTAAGTGAATAGGGAATAGGGAAGGGGAAGGGTAGAGAAAGGAATGGAAGGTATACAGAAAAGGAGAGAAAAGGCTATCACTGCGAAAAACTGAGCACTGTGGAAATGTCTACGTCTTATCCGTGATACAGGCATCTAAATTGGCAGATCTATGCTGCCCTTACTTCTATCTGAGCAAGGCCCTGGGATTGCAGTCCTGGCTGTGGTTGGAATTTGGCACTACAGTTTTGACCTTTAGCTTTAGTGAAGTGGCTCAGACGATGGCTGCTTGATAAGTAGGTCAAACTAAACACAGCACAGAAGAGATACTGGGCAGATAATAGGAGGCTTTTGCCTGCAGAAGTTGGTCTTTTGCAGCTTGTTCACATCAATCTGTACAGAGACAATGTATTAGAGGAAAACGTTTTAATAGAACAGGAGAGAGGCAGGGCCAATTTATAAGAAAATGTCTGGAGGTAATTATTTTAGACTAGAATAAAATGCCCAAGTCTACACTGAGACTAGGAAAATTGCACTCAGTAAGGCTAATGTAGGAGTTATGAAGGTACTTCTTGGTGTGGAGTTTGTGGAGAATTCCAGCTTTTAAAGATTGTTTTTAGAGTACTATCTAAGGAGTAATAAATGTTTTTTAAAATGCTATTTCAGGAAAAAAAAGACTTGAAGATACTGGCTTCAATGTAAACAGGATTTAAATAAATCTCAACTGCTTTTAAAGATGTGCAGACTTCATCCTGAATTGTTTTGATTTGTAAAGGGGGAGAGGATTTCACTCATCACTTGAGTGAAATTCTGTATTCTGCTGGTAAAATCTATTCTAAATTACTATTGTATACAAAGAACAAAATGTTAAGTACAGATCCACCTGCAACCGAAACATTCAAGACAATTATCTTTGAGCAAGATTTGTGTCTTAACACTTATTTGATATATGGAAAACTACAGCAGTCTCTTATTATTACTGGTTGTTTTCTTGCTGCAAGGTTAACCAGCAGAAATAGGAACAGAAGATTCACTTCCCCCAGATTACTCATGCAGGCCTTGTAGCAAACAAACTTTTCATCAGGCATTCTTGTGAGCTTATATTACAGCTGTTCATTTATTTGCATCACCAAAAAGAAGTGGAGGGTAGAAAGAGGCATGCTTCAACAGAATCTCTTCTTAACAAAAAAAAAAAAAAAACCAAAGAAAAAGAAAAAAGGCACTTGCTCTTTGTCACAAAGAACTGAAACAGGACAGGTCACTTCTACAGCTGTGGCTTGCTTGTTAAAGACAGAAAGCTGTAGCAAGCAAAAATGACACTTACTGCATAGGCAAAATGCTACCCTGGCACTTAAAAATATTTCATTGTAACAACAGCTTTTCCCAAAGACTCACTGACATCTAAGAATGTCATATCTGGTAGCAAATTAAAACAAATCTCCATTAGGCTGGTAATTGCTTATTGTCTCCACTGTCAAGATGGTTAAATTGAGATGTAGTGAATATAGTGAATGGCCACTCAGCACAGGGTGTAGGAGGCAGAAGGACACTTTACATCCAAGATAATGAACTACAAAATTACACTTTTAAGGAAATACTGTAGATCCATCTGACTTGCACTGACAAGCCTATTTTCTCTGCCATAGGCACAATCAGTTAATGAAAAATACTATTTCAGATTATGTTGAAAATACATGGAACTTCTTACTCTCTGGGACAATCCTGCTCACAAACATAAATTAGATAAGTACTTTTGTTCTGTGAGCACAGTACCATCAAATATCCTAACCATATCCATCATGCCTAACCATATCGAAATGCCAATTTACACAGTCCAGTCCGGTTCTGTACCACCACTCCACATGAAGAGCAAAACAGATTCAGATGCACAAAAGTCTAAAGGTCCTTAACTACATTATTTCCTTCTATGTGTACTCTTAAATACACTAGATTCTTCACTAGCTCCTTGGCTTCCTCCTCACACAGTCACACACATTTCAATAGAGTGCCCTTAATAAGTAAAATATTGTCACACATCTTGGCAGAACCAAAGCAAGACAGACCTGTGTTAGATCCAAAAATCCATGAACATCTGTTTTTATCACAAACTTTTTATAAATCAGATAGAGATAACTGTTATTGTCAGAAGTGACTGCTTGAACATTATTTCAACCCTTTGCACCTGTTTTTGTGTCTGTCTTCTAATTTATTAAGACACTTCTTTCTCTTTCCTCTGAAGTGTCTGCCTGTGTGCCTGCTGCCAGAGCCACGAACACTTTCCTGTACGTACCAGTGATCTGTTCTAAGGCTGGCTGCAGCTGCCCTGTGCAGCTTGATGGAAGGGTATGGGGTGCTGGAAATGGCACAGCTTTGGGACATCACATGGACACAAATGTGCACACCACAGTATACAGCACCCACAGCTCAGTGGGCCAAGCGCCAACTCAAAAATCCTGTCCCCTTTTTGGAAACCCAAGCATAGGAAATCCTCTGATCTAGGCTTATGCTCCTGGGGTTTGGTAGGAGCTCAAGCACTGACAATACAGCTGGGAGAGAAGAAGTAGTTAATATTCTTCCTGACTCTTCACTCTCGTTAGAAATATCCAAATGTGCTACTTAAGAGCTTTTTATAGAAACTTCATGCATTGCTTTGTTGACTTCTGCAGATATGAAGGGTAAATTATTGGTATAACACACTTTGAAATCTGTACTTATATGCCCCAAGACATTTCTTTCTTTCTCTCCCCCTCTGTAATAAAATACCTTTTTTACACCAATGTCTACCTTTCATAAATGTTCCACTTTCTTAACGCCTTGCTAAACTACTGCTTTTTCCTTTTTTCCTTTTATGCATGTAAGTGGAAGCTGCTGTGTGCAATGATTAACAACTGTGTCTGGAATATATCTACAGCCTTTATATATCACATTTTTTGTCTAGACCCTGATTCTGCAGGCCTTAATGCTTAACTTCACACAGTGTGAATCTGTGACTTCCATTCTCACTTTAAAACGTATAACAAAAATGAAATTATCACTTGAGCAACTCATTACTTTCTGGAATGTACTTGTTACCAAGCTTCATAAAAATATTTAAATAACATTTAAGCAATTTAAACAACTTGCTAACTTACTGGATTCTAATTTTCTTACATGCACATTTAGTAAAACTTAAAAAAATATATACATCCATAAAAATGAGTCTGCAATTTAATGTTTCAGACTTGTATCACATAAAGGGTAATTTAAATGAAGCATACTTCCAAGATAACTTCTAGATATGAGTGATATCCAAAATGAAGTGAAATTAGTCCTTCACATGCAGTGATGGGCTCATCATTCATGATGGAATGAGCACTGACGGCAGGAAACTATGCTTAATATAAACAAGCAAGTCACACCTAGATTTCAGCAATTTCTTGGACAGCTGAAGACAGAGAAATATAAGGACACAATGGCTGAGATAGTGGTTTTAGGACCAGTCAAACATAATCTGCAACAGCTACCCTTCTGAGTAAGACTACCAGTACTCACCAGCACTGAGAGCTCCTTCTGTTTGATCAAATGGCTGTAACAAACCTTTACCTTATAACACTATTTCCACATTTGTGAAGTTCTATTAAAGGTGAAGATTATTCTTTTTCTGTATTAACAGAATGAATTATGTCCCAGATTCTCAGGCTAATTCAGCTAATGGGGTACTACAATTCCTTTTCCTTATGTAATAATAATTTAAATATCATTAGGTCTTCTCACGTTCACTGATCATAACAGAATAGGATGTACCAAGTTTGAAATTTTGTACTAAATAAAGGAATCATGCTTAGTGTTTAAATTTTTTACTATAGAAACCTGTAACGTAGCTAATAATTACAGTCTTCTAATTTATCATGTTCAAACATTTTTGCATTGCTTCAGACTAAGATGTACATGCAGATCACGGTTCTCTCCCATGTTTGAACTTGCACTCAAATACTTGAGAACTGAAAGGCCTTGTACAACGTCTCATGAAGGTTATGAAGAGAAAGCTGCAGTCTGTTGCTGAGCACAAGTAACCTACCTTCTCTTGCATGGTTATAACCTCCATTGAGGGAGAGAGAAAGCAACTTTTCCAGGTACCATAGAATCAGGGAAAGGTTTGGATTGGAAGGGACCTAGAAGATCATCTAGTTCCAACCCCCTGCCATGGGCAGGGACACCTTTCATAGACCACATTGATCAGAGTCCCACCAAACCTGGCCTTGAACACTTCCAGGGATGGGGCATCTACAGTTTCTCTGGGCAACCTCTTCCAGTGTCTCATCACCTTCAATATAAAGAATTTCTTCCTTATATTCAGTCTTTCAATTTAAAACTATTGCCCGCTGTCCTGTCATCACAAGCCTTGGTAATGTCTTTCTCAGTCCTTCTCACAAGCCCACTTTATATATTGCAAGGTCACAAAAAGGTCTCTATGAAGCCTTCTCTTCTCCAGGCTGAAAAAATCCCAACTCTCTTGGCCTGTCTTCACAGGAAGGGTGTTGCAGCTCTTAATCCATGTTAAGATACACTTCATACAATCACAGAACGGTTTGGATTGGAAGGCCATTAATCTGAAAGTTCTAGTTCACTTCCCTTTGTTCCCAAGTTGTTAAAATTGGCTTTTTTTGAGAAGTAAATGGTGACCTGGGATCTGCAGCTGAGAGTTATGGCTATAATAATCCCAAGTAATTCTTTTCTCTTCCTCCAAATCTGTACCACAATGGCCTGAACATCTCCACCTGTATTTCAAACATTTATTAGCTTGGTTGAGAAATCATGGACCATGACTTCTGTTCCTGGCATAGATATTTATTTTTCCTGAGCCAATGACCCACATTAAAAGACAAATAGGTTACTGGCTTTTTATGGTTCTTCTTGAAGAAAGAAAGAGTACTTACAGTTTTACTCCAGGTGAGACCTGTGGTGTGATGCTCTTTGATATAAGCTTGAAGCTCAGACCAGATGTTCAGATATGACTTCACCCAATCAACATGGCGTGTGTCACTGTAAAAAAAGAGAGAATATTTATGTGTGAATGTACTTAAAAACAGAGAGCAGTGCTGCTTAAAGCAGGTAAAACCCAATGACTGCCTTAAAGCCATGGACAAATCAGTTAGCAGGCAAACAACCAGCCCAGTGCTGCAAAGACTGAAGCTACTACATTGGAAAGCTTCTAGATTCTTCTAGAGGACAAACAAGAGCAAAGGATGCCTCTAGGAGAGAGTGCTTCCTGCTAGAAGTGTGTGTCATCATCCTTCTCAGGCTCAATGTCAACTGAAAAAGGACTAAAGGCACATTGAGCTGTGCAGCAGGTACCCAGACACAGTTTCAGGGTGCTGAACTTTAGAAAATTAAATATCCATGGATTCTGTAAGATATTCTGGTTGCCACGTTCAAATGTGGCCAAGGCAATACTGGGTCATGTTGCAGTTGTCAGACTAAAATACTTACACATGAAGAATTTTTAAAATACAAGTCACAAGTTGGCTTTAGAATTTTTATCGTTAGTCCTTCAATGGGACTCATAAATGAAACCAGGAAATATGTAGAGAGAAATTGCTTGTAAGATGAAGTCCATAGTTATAACAAATTATTAGTGAACACTGACGGCTTACAAAGATTTGTGTGTCTACCTTACATTTATTTCCTTTGGAATTTTATCCTTAATAATGCAGAGGACCTGAGTCAACAGGCTTAATCCAAAGCCTACTGAAGTCAAGGGAGAGCCTTCCATACTCTGGAAGACATTGTGGTCTGATTCAGTGAAAAACAGGAAAAGAATTCCTCATTAAAGAAGTAAGAAGAATTAAATACCTAAATAATGTACCCATTTATACCATTACATGAGACACTTTTTTCCTCCAGTGTAAATACTGATGCTGTGTTGTAAAAATCATTAGTTACCCCAGCATCAGTTACTACCTTCAGTAGGTAAACTCAGGCTTTAGGAATAAGATATAACATATAATATATATAAAATAACATACTACATATAGCATGTAATTTATATTTATACACATTCAAGAAACATAAATATATGTGAAAGGTTTTAATATTTAAAACCTTTTCCTCACTAAAGAGGAAAAATTCAATAGCAAACACCATTCTTCACTGGGATATAAAAATCAAGAGCCAAAATCTGGCCTTCAAAAGCATCAAGTCAACAGGATTTATACATGACTTTTCAAAGAGGGCATAAGAAGGACCTGAATTTTTTTCTCTTTCTCCATCAGTTCACAGATATCATTCATGGAACTTTTTTTGTGAATTCCTTGTGCTCTTTAAGAATAGCGAAGTGGTACAGAGAAACATCAAATTAGGAGCTATGGAATTTGAATCTGTATATATCTACCACCTAAATACACATTTTCAAGCCAAGAGCAAGAACAGCAACAGTATGAGAGCACAAATGAGAGGAGGAAGCACAGCAGCCAGCTAGCCACACATCACTATGTAAATAGGCATCTGCATATAAGCTCATGATGCTGGAATGCCAGAAAAATAAAAAATAATCTTAAAATGTGCAGAGTGAAAACCAGCACTGCTAATGCTGCTGCCAATCTCACTGCAGCATGCTGCAGGTCAGAGGTGAGGAGGGGAAACTATACTACTGCAAGAAGGTTTCATCAAATGCTTTTTAGTTTACAAAACACTTCCCGTGATAGCACTGTGAACCCTACTGGTAGGGTTAATGCTCTGTTCTCTGGCTAGTCGATACTGGAGCTTGGCAACATACCTGTTCTTGTAGTCCTTTAATACCCTGTTAGTATAAAAGGTAGCAGCATCATTCATCTCCTTGACATAAGGGCCTGGTTTAGGAGACTAGGACCATCACCCCATGGTAGCAGGAAACAACAGAAGGAGAAAGGAAGTAAAACATTAGTCAGACACCTCCCCTGACACACTAGGTTTATTACCTTCTTGGGTGTAGTAGACTGAAGAACTGTATAGATGAGACTGCAGAGCACTGCAAGATTTGGAACTATCCTGGGCTGCACCATCCAGAAGCTTCTTAACAGCCCTCCCAACCACACCGTGTGTCACTCACCACTGCTATCCACCCAAGGGCAGGGATGCTCTCACTGACAGCTGAGAGGTGGTTGAACATTTTACTTCCTCTGTTCCTTTCTCTGAAGTTCTGGATTTCCTGAATCTTCTCTGATATTGGCTTGAGAAGCATTGCCACCTCGTTCTGTAAAAAAAGGGAAAGGGAGAGGGAGAGGGAGAGGGAGAGGGAGAGGGAGAGGGAGAGGGAGAGGGAGAGGGAGAGGGAGAGGGAGAGGGAGAGGGAGAGGGAGAGGGAGAGGGAGAGGAGAGGAGAGGAGAGAGGAGAGGAAAGGAGGAAAAGAAAAAAAAGAGAAGAAAAGAGAAGAAAAGAAAAGAAAAGAAAAAAGGATACTGCTGTTAACAGTGGGTGGTCCAAAAGCACAATGTGGTTAAATATTGTCCTCCTTGCCTATGATTTAACATCTATAAAGAGAGGTCATCATAAATTTCTACATTACAGCAACAGTTTAATTATCCTCCTATAATTGCAGTGATAAAATGCACAGACATTAAGTACTAATGTATTGTAGCAAAAATTGTTCTCAGCAGTGGCAACGTTTTCACATGCTGCCCAGATTAAGACCCATATCGACCACATAGCTCAGTTAGCAGAATGATTTCATTTTTATCTGATATCCCTGGAACTTCTTCAGATGCTTGAGTTTTTCATGTTATTAACCAAGTTGTTTTTCCCAAGAAACACAAACTACTTGTCAGTTGCCTGTTATCATCTGGCAACAAGACTGAGAAAGTAATACACTGTAGGCAAGATCAATTTTACCTTTCCTCCTTGGTACATTTAATGTTTTGGCTGCAAGTAATGCAGGAGGATTTCATGAGAAATATGCTGCCTGCAAGCCATGGTTTGGGGAAGTTCTCCTGGCTTAATCAGAAACGAATGGTATCCATGGGAATGACTGCTGAGTGGAAGCAGTAGTGTTTGGAGTGAAGAGAAAAGCAAAATGAATGCAGAAGCTATCCAAGCTCTTTCCTGTGCAAAGTGAATGCTAATCACACTAGTCCACTGTCTCAGAAAAACTAATTTAGAGCACTAATTCACTGGGAAGAATTCTTCCACTCAGAAAACAGCAGATTGAGGGACATGGAGTCATCAGTTTACAGGCAAAACAACTGCTGTACCTTGCAACCCTATAATATTGCAAAAGTATGCTCACCAAACCCCTATAATGTCCCACCAAAGACAGTGCACCATTCTGATCCTCCCTGGCACTTCACCTGGAAATCACTCAGGATGTAGCAGAACTCTTCATTTTTTTCTCACCTTTTCCAGGGCTATTTGTGATGTGCTTGCTGGAGACAACTAATCCTCATGATCTTGAGGACTAATGCTGCCATGACACACACAAATTGATGGGCACATATGTCCTGCCTGATCTCTGTCATCTTAAGGTTTTTCTTTTCACCTTTCCAGAAGACTCCAGCATTAGAAAATTTTATGTCACCTTAGAATAAGCATGTTTGCTACAGATTAACACGGGTGAAAGATACTTCAAAACATGTCAAAAAGAGGGTGTGCATTTTGAAAAGTATTTTGATCTACCTACAGAGCCTGAACATTTTAGTGGTAGACTAATTTTGAGAAAGGCCTAAGAATCAGAAATACACGGGCATATGTGATCTTCCCTACAACAAAATGGGTTGGGAGAAAACAAATATTTACACTATTACTGTGAAATGAAAGGATTTTCTGTTGATGACTTAATGACCAGCACAAGTCATTAAGTCTGAAAAGCCCTGAAACCCCTGTGATTTGCAGTTCTTAAAACATGATCTTGTTGCCATAACATGATAAAGTCTGCAGAAATTCTCCTTTCTAATTTCTGCTTGTTTACAACATGCTGCAGCTGGTATTTTCTTGGGTATTTTCTTATTTTTCAGGGAAATCTTTCAAGTATGACAGTAGTTAACAAGACTGAAATTTAAGAAAGTGCTTGTTCTGCTTTGATATTATGCCAGTTTTCCTCCCATAAAGTCTGAGGGATATTTACAGTCCTGAGCTTACTGTGAATCTTCATGGCCCAGTTCCAGACAAAAAGAATATCAGGCCTAAAAATACAGCTCCACAGATGCCTGGTATATCTAGAGAGCACTGGGAGGCAGCACATTTCTGTGGATAGTGCACAGAAATGGAAGTCCTTAAATGGGGGTTCTCTTTGCAGCTCTCCCACCAAATTGTCATCAGGTTTCAGGAAAGCTGGGTTAGCTTTCTGTGCTTTGATTTCCTAGATATGAAATGGTGTTAACATAGCTGTTTTATTTTGTAGAATACGTTGATTTCTAAAGATAAGAAGGCAAAATTAGGGTCAAACATTTCTCTGAATGACCCACAATGACCCGCAACTCCTCCTATTCCTTCTAGAAAAGCTCTCAGCCACTTTTCTGAGGATCTTCTGTCAGTCGCACAGAGATTATTTCTGTCCCTCAGAACACAGGACTTAATCTATCCAATGATTACATATTTATAAGAAATGTTTATAAAAATGAAGTGGATTTCTTTAATTTCACAGAACCTGTGCAAGTTTTAAAGATGAAATATGTATTGTTAAGGAAAGTTTCTCAAGTAATCATTCCTCTGGCACTGCAGTGACACCAGAGTGGGCTTGAGGCTTTGCTTTTTTTGTCCCATGTGAGAGGTCTTGGTAGAGCAGCAAAGTCTGCATCCCTTTCACTCTGCACTCATCCTGTTCTGCAATGGCTGCACAAAATGTGTGTGTTTGTGGAAGTTTCTTGTCTTCTAAGTTTCTGTGTAAGAGTTTGACACAGGAACACAGCCTGCAAGGAATCACTAATTGAGATCTGTCTCAGTTCTAAATTTTTAGTTAGTGATTAAACTGCAGATGAATTACAGCGTATATGGCATATGGGTACAGAAAGGCTCATTAATTCCGGCAGTAATCAGTCTTGTTTGGCTTTACAATGCAGAAACAGTTGTGCTGAGGGTTCTAGAAGAATAATCTCTTTATTGCAATGAATATTAAAACAGCTGACTTAATACAATTAATGTCTATATTGTATCTCTAAGAAAAGGGAATTCCAGGAGATGAATCAGAACTGTTGGAAAAATCTTCAGCATGCCTTTGGCATGTGCTAGATAAAATTTCTTGTCATTTAAGACACAGCACAGTTGTTTAACAGAAATTTAAGAGTCTCTTTATAAACACCATTCCTATTATAATATCAGTTTTGCTGAAATGCTTAAAAATGCAACATGGGCACAACTGACAAATGTCAGAAGTAATTCCCAGTATCCTTTTTTCCTTTTTAAATAACGATTAAAACCAGCTTGTCACTTTAAACACAAATAACTAGACAACCAGCCAGCTGATAATATTTTGTAATTCTTGTTAGAAAATCAAGAGTAGTAAGACTATTGCCACGAATAGCCAAAACACTCCAAAAAAGTTTCAGCATACAAAAGAACTGCCTTAGGCTTTGGCTTCAGAGACTTAACAGTCTCAGCCCATAAAATGGCCTGGAATACCAGTATTCCAACAGACCACACTACACAGACTTTCTTCTCCACATATTTGCATTACCCACACAAGAAATTCCCCAGGTGACAGGCTTAATAGGACTGGTGGATAGGGACATTCAGTTCAGGAGAAAGACCAAAGATTTGGGTTTTGTGATGTTTGAAATCTGCCTGTAAAGTCACATTAAACTGAATGGCTTGCTTAAATTATGGCTGCTTGAGCCAGTGATTACTTGAAAATCTTAGCTTTAATTTGGGAAAATGGGCATTTTCTCAGGACCACTGCTGTCCAGAAACCTGCCAGCATGAATCACAAAGGCACAAAACACAGCAGGTAAATAAAAAATATAGTTTTAAAGATTTTATGAATTTTTAAGCTAATCTTACATGGTTTTGAGGTGTGAGATTGTTTACCGAAGGATTTTTATGTTAATGAGTGGCAACACAATTCAGACCTCACTATTACAGTGTTTAAATCAACCTGACCTATTACGAAAAAAGCATGTCAAGAGAACAAATACCCTCTTAAGTTATGCAAAATGAGGGCATGGAAACTTTGGCGTAGGAGCAGCAAAAGAAAACTCAGAATTTGGAACCAACGGCCCCTTCCTTTTACTCAGCTGCAACCCGAACAGCGTGAGTACAACCTTTATTCCATGGTGTACAGGTCTGTTAGTTTCTCCTTCATACTTACATAAAATCTCCATTATACTTTGTATTTTTAGGGGGCAAGTTTGAAACATGGAGTTGATCTGAATCAGGTATCTTTGTATGTGCTGGCAAGCAGTGCAGCCTAATAGGAATGGTTCTGCAGAGCAAAACGGTGCTGAGGCTCCAACACTCACAGTATGCATGTAAGGGAGTGCTGCTTGGGACTAGCTGTAAATTGTGGTTTAGATGCTGCCTGGGAATGTATCTTCCACTTCACCAGAAAGATACCCACTTTGTCCACCTTAAGCTGCTCTATAATGTGAAACACGACATAGTAAACGGGGCTGATTTGAAGGAGAAATACAGTCCCACAGTGAGCTAAAACACTAATGTAGACACAGCCATTATCTCTGCAAACAGCCTAGTACAGTCCCATCCCACATTTCATCCTTTCAAGGGGTGAAAGATGTCATGGATAGCAACCACCCCACTCAGTTCTAACAATTTAAAAGGCAAGCATCTGCTCTCAGCTGAGACTTGTTTCCCTCTACTGTAAATGAAGAAAGACATGTCCCTGATGAATTATTTGCCCGTATTAATAGATATTAGATGACTATATGTTAGAAGACATTAATAGATGTGAAGAAGTGGACTCTAGAGGTGCTGGCCATTACTGTTAAGAGAGCCCAGGAAAACACCTTACACAATATTCCTACTTTGACAATTTAAAGCTGATGAGCAGAAGCCCATCCTGTGTCTACAGAAATAAGATCACCAATGAGATGCATTTCTGCTATGAGTGGCTGTGACTGTATAACTCAAACAGTTTTTGATTAACCGTAATTTCCCTTTTTTTTTTTTTTTTTTTTTTTTTTTTTTTTTTTGTATTTTCAAAACCTGTAAAGAAGACTTTAAGTTTGTACTTTTTTTGGTAGGTATGCAGTTTAAGAAAGGCCTGTGTTTTTTCTTTAACTCTTTATTCACAGCCTGGATGGAATCAG